CAGCGTGAAGATGGTAGTGTTGCAGACAACATCTCGGATATCTGGCCAGCATCTCTTTTCCAGGTCCGGTTTAGCAGTCGGTACTAACTTGTCACCGCCACGTTTGTTGCGGCGTCTAGGAACGTAGCCTGGTTCGGAGGCGATGGGGACGAAGCCTGATGTAGCAGGAATAGTTGAGGTGCGTCGAATGGTGGCTGTCAATGTCATGGTGCTTGTTGACGTGACAGTAGTAGTGGCTTCTTCTGTGTCGGTGGTGGTAGCTACGCGTTGTCAGAATCATAGTCCTCTTGAGGGGGCTTTTGGCTCACCATTGATCGTGACAGTGGACGTCGCGGTGACACGCAGAGTAGAGACCACAGTTGAGTTGACAGTCCGAGTTAAAGATACGGCTGAGGTGGTACTGAAAACAGAGACTGTCTCTGTAGGACAGATGGTTACGGTGCGGTTTAGCGTTAATTGAATGGTGTTCGTTATCGTAGTGGGAGGTGTAGGAGAAGCTGTAGGGAAGGGGCCGCATCCTCGCCGAGTCACACATGTTCCTGTAGTGAATACATTTTGGGCAATTGCCACACCGATCAGGGTGTAAATTAGTAGTAAGAGGTGCATCGTGATATCTTGTTATGTTTAGGCTGGCATGTTTGGGGTTCCAAGAGACAAGGAGAAAGGGGGCGATCTAAGAACGTTATAAAGAGAGTCCCTCCAACGTTGATCTCCCCTCAATTCACAATATGTATTCCATGTCTTAGAGTCATACAGAGAAGTGATGATGCATGAGTGTTCAAGATGGCGCCTTGATTTGCAACATGAACCATGAGGCTTCGGTGATAAGGTCAATCGCTATACAAGTAATCTTGTGCGCCTACTTTAGGTACAGGCTTGTTTAGTTTTTAGAACCTCAGTTTCTGGCAAGTTTTACAAGGCTTCCAAAAGGTTAAGCATAAAATGTAATAGAGTTGTCGGATTGAAAGAAAATACATCCGTCTTACAGTTGAAGTCGCAGCCGCAATGTGGAGCGCCACTCTCCACAAACAAGCCATATCGACTCAAAAAAAATGCTCTAATTGGAATATTAACTGCTTTTGGATTATTTTCACTTTGCGGCATGAAAGGTTATCAGTGCAGAGAAAGAGCAGCGTGCATAGTCCATAGCTACTTGGCCATGAGGAATGATGCGTCTCAAGCACTGCCAGCAGTGATGGACAATGAATCTATAACTACTTCAGAAGCACTATAAAAGCATTCCTTTGTTATGGCGGCGTTTCCGTACCTATTTTGGGTATCTTCAACCTCAGCACTGGTAAACCGTTGGCACCCCTGCCAAGAGAACAAAGAACAAAGAACAAAGTAGCGACTCATTGCTGAAACGGGCATCTGAACTCTTGCAATTGAAGCTGTTAGGTAGCTGTGTGTTTCATGTCTCAGGAACAGTCTAAAGAAAGAAACTGTGGCGTTGTTGAAGGTAGGAGGATTGCAGAACATATGAGCAGAATCGCTCATAGATAGATGAATAGCAATCACCTCTACAATCTTGTTCAAGAAGCAAGCACTAAAAGAAATACTGAAATTCAATCTCAATATTATTTCTCAGGCGCAATGTCTCGCGATATGGAACGGGTCACGTACAACTATACCTCAGTTCCGCAATACCAACATCAGCACTCTCAACGAACAATGCAGGCTGTAGCCCCAACCTCGTTAACTCAACAAGGGTCCTACGCTCCCTCATACACTGATAGGCCTTCAAATCCTATCACCGCATCCAATTATAATGAACAAACTCAAAATAACACACCTTCACCATCGCCATACTCAACCACGGGACGACAAGAAACATGGATGGGAAGCGTGGGCTTCACGGATCGCTTCACTAGAGACAGCATGGGTTATGGACGAGCAACACCAGACACAACCGTGGCTTATGAGCCTGAACCTTTGGAACCTCTTTTTGACATGGCGCAGCCTTTGCCGCGACTGCCGAGTCCCGATATTCAGCAACCCACAGCACGCTCAAGACATAGACGTGGAGATAAGACATGGTCCCGCAAGCAATTACATTCAGGATACATTGAAGTGCCAAGGAGGGTTGTTCACAATGGGAAGGAGACTGTAGTCAGGAAAACGATATATTACAATCGAAGCTACGGAGGGTATTGGCAAAGTCGACCATAAGACAGCACAGAAACGTTTCGAGAAGTTGTGTTCATGACCAGCATATAGACAAAAGCGGGTATAGATCTCATAGACACATAATTCATAACTCATCTCAGCAATTCGCTGTCTTTTCGTGTCCCTGTACCTCAACGAGGTTGACCTCATGACCTCTCTGGGCTTCAACGAACGGCTGCTTCTTCCAGTGCCGTGCAGGGATACCATCCCGGAAGAAGCCGTTTATCTCCTCCATGCTGCGGCCCGTAACTTCGCCGACGCAGAAGTATACATAGGACAACGTGACGAAGCATAGACCTGTGTACACGAAGCCTGTCTTGGGACCGAGGTTGGCGGAGTAGTAGAGGTATGGTAGGGTGAAGACTGTAGCCCAGACCGTGACCCAGAAAGAAGCAACGGCGACGGCGTAGATTTTGTTTCGGTTTCTTCCAACAGCCATTTCAGAAGCCTAAGTAGAATGTATCAGAAGGAGAGCTCTGGTGACAGGGTGAAACACTTACAATGGTCCAGCCAAGAGGACCCCAAGCAAAGTTGAATGCTACAATCTCAATAATCACAAAACTAATAATCACCTTCCCAACAGTTTCGCTCGGAGTTCCTCCAGGGATACCCAAGCACCCAACGACAAAGATAGACACAGTCATGATCCCCGTGGTGATGAGCAAGAGAGGTCGTCGCGGAATCTTGTTGGCCAGCAACACCGCCGCGAGGACGACAAAGACTTGAATGATGAACACGATAAGGGTCATAAGAAATGGATCTTTGAGTCCAATTGCTTTGGAGAAGATGGTGCCGAAGTAGTAGAACCATTGGATGCCGTTGATCTGCTGGGCGATCAGGGCGCCGGCGCTGTAGATCACTTTGCGACGTTCAATTGGATCTGTGAGTAGTTGAATCCATGCGCTTTCAATTTCACTAGAACTTTCCTTTTCGAGATCTTCTTCGATATTCTGCATCACGGGTTTAGCATCGTAGTGCTTGTCTTGATGGTGAAGTAAGCGGAGAGATCGCATCGCTTTGTCATGATGCCCACGGCGGAGCAACCAGCGCGGCGATTCCGGAAGCCATGTAATCCCAAGAAATAGAATCAATGGGAAGACGAGTTGAAATCCAATCGGAAATCGATAAGCAAAACTCGTGTCGTTGTGGATCACACTCCTGTTGATACCAGCAGCGATGATCTGTGAGACAGACAAAACGAGCTGCCAGCACATGAGAAGAGGGCTTCTCAGAGACTCGGGCGCTATTTCCTACAAGTAGCCGAACGATCAATAACAAAGGCCAATCGTACATGATCAATCGGAGAATTTAAAAACTTACTCCCATGTACAAAGGCGAAGTTACGGAAAAGGTTCCCACCCCAAACCCGGATACGGCTCTACCGGCGGTGATAAGAGCACGGCTCGAAGTCGTCGATAGCTGCATTACAACACCAACGACCACGGTAACGGAGCCGGTGAAGAGCGAGCCCTTTCGGCCGAATAGATCGTTCAACGGTGCTGCTAACAACGATCCCACTAACTCGCCCACATTGATCATGCTCGTCATGACAGCTAGGTTCTGGGGCGAGATGTGGAATTCGCCATCGTCACCCCGCGTTCCAAAGTCGCGAACAAAGACATCTTGACAGTCAGCTTAGCTATACGAGGAATACTTATACTTTCTACAGCTGAAAGAGACATACCGAGAGTCGAAACTCCGGTAAAGTATACGCCCTCATAGCCGTACAGACAAGCTCCGAGGGCAGCGAAGCCGCAGCACAGCCAGACGTAGGGATACTTGACGACGAAGCTTTTCGGCATGTTTGTTCTTTCTCCGCGGGACGGATGGCCGCGCGTTAAGTCGAGTTTACAGGGCTGAAGGGGAGGGGGTAGGGAGGGAGGTTCGACCACTTCGTTTCTCTTCAGCGGTAACGGCTTCTGGGTCTAGCTCTGTTTTGGAATAAGATATGGTATGGGGAAGAAGTTATCGGTGATACCGTGCAAGTGGATACGATGATATTAAAACAGTCGATGGACGGGAGTTCAAGTTAACGTTACAGTTGTGACAAGGCTCAGGATACAGGGCCAAGCCTCAGCGTGAGGAGTAGTATCACGAGTTGCTTGCTCACTCATTCACTCACTCACTCACGCACTCGATCACTCAGTAACTTCCCATCTCTCAAGCCCCCTTTTCTCTACTCCAACAGGCCCATTGCTTCTGGAACCTTGCTCCGAGCTCGCTTAGAAGAAGCTCCCCCCAAGGCCCAAGGCTCTCCGACGATTGGGCTCAGATAGAAACCCAAGCTAACCCATCAAAAGTTAGGATCATCGAAATAAAGTTTCACCCGAGTCATGAGGCTTTACCTGTTGAGGAAGCGCCGCGCCATCTTGATGCCGGGGCTTTTCTCAAAAGGGACCATTCGGGAAACGTGGGTGCGAAAAAAAACAGGAGCATGGTTGCATTCTGTGATTATCATTCTTTTTTTAAACCAAGAGGTTCATTCCAGTTCACTCTTTGTGCTTCCCACTTCCCACTCTTTCCTTGCGAGGAAGACGCCTTGACCATCAGGTCCGTCGATGGAGTCTTGAAGGGTGAAAGCTTCGACCATTCGGCTGCTGTAGTGTAGGTAGGTAGAGCTATCACTCCCTAACCCCAAGGCAAGGCAAGGCAAGGCAAGGTACCATTGGATTGAGAACGCCAAGAAAGGTTGTCTCCGAAATGGATATAATTAGACGTTGCTTCACTTTATTTCGTTCGCAATCAACTAACAGACAGCTCCAACCTGGATAATCACCACTATCACTACCACTACCACCAAATACTCTACAGCACTCGCTCTCAACACCACGACTATGCGATCAATACTCCCTGTCCCAACTCCGCCTCCCGAATCATGTCCCTACTCTCGCGAATCACACTACCAAGCTTCCGCCGATGTCATTCCTCTTCTCATTGACGATACATACCACGTCTTCCACCTCAACACCCCGCCAGTCACAAAGCACCACCCAGAGCGTCTCAGAGCAACATGGTCGCGGCTCCGATCAACAAATCTTATCGAATGGGAGCGTGATCCAGAACCTGTCTTGTCGCCTGGTGAATCCACCTCTGATCCAGATGCCGATGGTGCTTGGACGGGATGTGCAGTGCTTGATCTAGATCAGCACATGAACATCTTTTACACGGGGTATAACCTGTCGCAAAATGGTCGTCAGACGATACTTCGTGCCAAAGCAAAAGATCTCCATGGTACGAGGTTTGAGAAAGATGCAACGCCAGTCACAATTCATCCCGAAGGACTCGATAAGTATGAGGACATTGACTTTCGAGATCCCTTTGTCTTTTATAACCGTGCCGAAGGTCGATATTGGATGCTTGTAGCTACTCGACTAGCCAATGGCCCGTATTGGAGTCGCGGATGCATCGCGTTGTTAACATCGCCGGATCTCGAAGCCTGGACCGTTGCGCCTGAACCTCTATACGCCCCCAACGACGTCTTCTGCCCCGAATGTCCAGAGATCTTCACACTGCCCAACGGAAAGTGGTATCTTGTGTACTCGCGCTTCCACGCCCCGAATGCAGGAACAGTATATCGCATCGCTGACACGCCATACGGGCCATTCCGCGTGCCAAGAGATGGATCTCATGGCCGGCTCGACGGTCGCCGTTGGTACGCAGCCAAGTCATGCCCTAAAGCGGGAGATCCCGACAAGAGGATCAGCTTTGGCTGGATTGGAGACTACGCCGACGATGAGAAGAAGTGGCTTTGGGGAGGTGATCTTGGTGTCACTAGAGTTATGTGGGCAGACACAAACGCTTGTCTGCGCATTGATGCCTCTCAAGAATTCAGGAGTTACATATGGCGATGCTCCAAGCCTGTTTCGCCGAGCAATGCTGCTCCAAGCTTATATCTCTGCTCCCTCGGCACAACAGCGACTCATTTCCCTGAGCTGGGTTCTGCAGAGTGGAAGAAGGATCTCATGGTAGACTTCAAGGTCGCAGCTTGTGATGCGCATACTTTTGGCGTCATGCTCCAGACCGACAGCTCAGGTAAAGGCCATCGTCTCCAGTTTAACCCGCAGGGAAACGGCTTCTTCTCCGTCGCCCTCATCACCGACTTTCCACCCCTCGACGACTTCTGGGCAGACCAGTATCGCATTTATATCCCCCGACCCGTCGACGGTCCCGAGTTAGTTCGACACGATAACGTCAGTCTCGTCGATGGAGTCTTCCTCTTTTTGAGGGGTCAGCTCGTCGAGGTCTTCTGCGGAGGACGAGCGCTGAGTTTCCGACTACCTATACCGCCCAACTGGGCCAGCGGCGAGCGAGACGGTGTGCGCAGATTGGGATGGTTTGTGGAAGATGGTATGGTTGATTTAGTTGATATTAATATGCGGCATTCGAGGAGCTACAAGGACAACTCAGTTGAGTCTGACAATGGCCTCGAAGATGCCGACTGATTTCTTCTATTAACCTTACCGCCCCATTCCTTCTCATTCGCGGCCCCTTCATCCAAGATCTCTCTGCGGCATCATAGGATTTGGCTGAATGACCAAACCGCTGAGGAGATCATAAGGCCCCGACGCGCCCGCAGCGAGATCCCAGTCGCCAAAATCAGTATATTCATAAACATCAGCACCATAATTGCCCATCATCGGGCTAACTTTATCATTAAGCGGCTCATTCAGATTAACCGCGAGCGAATGCTCCAGCCCGCGCAATATAGCCCCTTCCAGTCGATTAACGGCATATTGCATCGGTTGATGGCTTTTGCTCATCATGCGAAGGTTCCAGAGATACGAGTTCAAGGTTTCCTGCCAGAAATGTCGCTCCTGCGATGATAACGAAGTGACGAGAAGTAATGTGGTGAAGGAGCCGAGGAGCGAGAAGAGGTAGGGTGACGTGAAGTACCAGAACGCCTCGAGATGATCAGGTCGCAAGCTTATGACAAAAGATATGGCGCTCTGAGCTGTCTGAAGCGCAATCTGTCGAATGCTGGAGAGGACTCGATCGTCCGAGCATCGCGGTGGGAGTGCTGTAGAGCGTATCAAGCGGCGCAGCAGGGTCATTACGACGCCGTAGTAGGAGAAGTGCAGGTATCCGTGGAAGCACAGCTTGCGCTGGTAAACAACGTTCATCTGCAGTGTCGGCGGAATGCTATGGTACCAATTCGTCAACATCTCGAAGAGCGGCCGGGCTTTTTCCCACAGAATAACGGTATCTTGCTCACGACAGGTCCGCGCTGTGTAGAAGCTGGAGTAGACAACGGATAGAATCTGCGTCAACCGCACCATCTGTATAAACTGCGTCATGCCAGTCGCAGCGATAGATCTCCGGTCATCGTCGGAGCCAGACACAGAAACAGAACTAGAAACTGATCCAGAAGCGGACGCCGAAGCTGCGTGGCCTTCGCTGTCGAAATCAGAAAAATCGCCCGGTGTAAGATCGCCCACTGTCCAGTCATCGTCGTGAATATGCACAGGACGTCCGTAAGCCAATGCGGTCCAGCGATCCTGCATGAATAGCGCCCAGCTGAGCCGCTTGCGAACATTTCTCTCCCATTGCGGAATAGTCCAGTTGCTCGCATCAAGGTGAAGCCCAAGACATTGGCCGATCGCAAGCGCCTGGCAGGTGAGTCCCCATTGGAACGTGTGGTCCGGGTTGAGGGGGTCCTCGGGCTGGCACTGCAGCAGGAGGAGGGCGGCCTGGATGGAACTGAGCTTTGGGCGGTGATAAGATGCTGGTATGGCAGACCGTAGCATCCTGCGGAGGAGGGCGGCGTCAGGGGGGTTTCTGATGGAGAGCTCAGGGTCGTAGGTCCACCAGCGAATGGCGGACAGGTAGATGGCTCCGAGGAGGGCGGCGGGAATGCGTCGGTATGACTGGCTGTAGGCAAGGGTAAAGGGGTCCTTAGAGAGGATGGGATAGCATGGTTGTACGTGTCTCCAGAAGAGCTCAACGAGACTTGGGCCGTGAGGACGAACACAGCTCTCGATAGCGTCAACTTGAGAAAATGTCGGATCGCCTTCAACTGCTTTTTCGTCACGAGCCATGTGAAATGTCAAAGGATACTCCTGACCATCATCTCTCTCCAGCACGCGTCGAATAGCATGCGTGTCGAGGCTAAATTCGTGAGTCTGGGGATCGTAGGGTCGATGTCGCATTAGTATAGGTTCCATATCGCTCCCAAGACCATAAAGCTCTGCAAACCGCGTGGACGAGCATCCCATAGTGCGGTCCAGGGGACCAAGCTCAGGGACCATGACAGAGGGCGGAGCGAGAGGAATGCCGCTATCAGCAGAAGCCCTGGTCTCAGCAGGAGATAAAAATGCCTGGACCGAGGGGACGGAGTGAACAGACTGGACAGACTGGACATCGTCTCGCGACGTTTTCCGGCTCTGGCTCATGCTCCGCGCTGAAGTCTGGCTCTGGTCCTCATGGCCGACATCCTCCTGTTGTTGCAGGGAGATTGTTGTATTTGAGTTTGGGCCGGAAATACCACTACTGCCACTACCGCTGGCGACCTGGCGCTCCGGAGGATCATGCTGAAAAGTACACGGCGTGGCTCTCAGCTGGCAGTGGACGCAGTTATCGTCGCCGTCCTTTGTAACGCAGCGAGTCTTGCGCTTCCGACAGGCGTCACAGGGACGAAGACTGCGACGCTGTCGCTTGCGGGCGTTGTTCTGATAGTCCTGGGGTGTGATGATTTCCATTTGTCGAGGACGAAGGGTGAAGTTCTGCCATGTCCTGGTTGGAGAAGACGAAGAAGCTAAGAAGTAAAGGTGAGGTGAAGTGAAGTGGTGTAAGTTGTAAGTAAGCTTCTCTCTTTCTATCTCGGTGTTAAGAACCTAGAATCCACTCCCCGCTTGTACTTATTTCCCTGTCGTGTCCGTGTCTCAAGCTATCGCAGAGGTCTTGGGTCTTGGTATGGTCTTACGCAAGGCAGGGGGAAAAAAGAGGATTACACATACAACAAACAGGAACAATAGTAAGAGAGAGAAAACAACACACGACTACCGATCTTCGGTCCTTGCTTACTCGGCTCTTGGCCCTCGAACAAGCTCTCTTGGCACGAGGCTGTGTCGATAGACGAGTGACATTGAACACTATTGCCAGAGTTGTATGTATGTACAGTGAACTCGGCTCTAACGGTTTTGTTGCAGGATGGTGGTGGTGATGATCGTTTAATACAAGACAAGACAAGTTCGTCAGCCTCAAAGTCAAGTTTCAGCTCAGGATCAGGGTTTCTGACACAGAGGACGCTGAATCAGCCTGTTTCTCTCAAATGCCTTTTTCGTTTTTCTCTTGTTTATTACTTTTACGGTAGTTGTCTCGAGTGGCGGTTTTTTGTTTCATTGAATGGCTTTTTGGCTGCCACGCGCCATTTTAAGCAGATGACGGCGGTGGAGGAAAAGAGTGTAGTAGGTAGGTCACGGCCACGGCCACAGCCATGGCCACTTCGCTCGTGTTGTATCCCTGTCTGCAAGGTTTGGAACGGGACAAGCTGGTTGACCTGTCGCCTGTCGCCTGTCGCTCGGGGCCTGGGCTTGCTGGGCTGCGTGTCTCTCCCCGTGCAGAAAGCAAGTCTGCAGCAAATAAAATAGAGTTGGGCCCGTCTTTCTGGCCCATGCAATGCCCTCCCTGTGGCTTGCACACTAAGAAGGGGATCAAAGACAAAGGACCATGGCAGGCATGGAACCTGGCGCTGCTCCCTCGTGCCCAAGAAACAAGACCGGCGCCGTCTCCTTTCTTTAGGTTAGTTAGCACTCGCTCTGGAACTCAGAAACTGGCTTTTTGCTTTTTGTTGCACCAGTTCCGTGGGCTCGGGAGTTGGGGTATGCCCAATGGTCGTTAGTGGTGGTGAAGTGGTAGTGGTAGTCTAGGGGGGCGCAGGTGCCGTTGCCGCCGAGTCTTGGCAAGAGGGCGACCCTGAAAGTCTGATTTGATTACTTTCCTTGGCTGTTGATGACGTAGAATAAAGAGGATTCTTCCCCTTTGGTCCCTTTCGGATTCAACCGTCATGACCTCATCCTCCCAGAGCCTCTCAAGCCTCTCAAGCCTCTGTCTGTCAACATCTCAAATGTCAGATACGCAGACAAAATTCCAGATAGAGTTGTATTGCCAATATTCATACCACTTCGCCTCTCAGCCCGACAATCGTGGTCTATGCGTGGCTTATGTAGTATGATGCCAAGAACCTGCATCCGCACGAATGGGCCAAGCTATGATTAACAAAAAATTCAAAAGAGAAATTCAAATCTTGCAGATCATTTTTCCCTCATCCATATGCTTGCTAGTGGACCCTTGACCGCACATCAGTGGGCTCGGGCTTATCTCGACCCTGGGGCCTGGGAACTGGCATGCAACCAAACCTAAACTGCAAATATTATCGCAATATCCATACTCCCAACAACGCTATTTCCACAAGCCCTTTTTCGCAGTCCCTAATTAATTGAAACTAAGACCAACAACTTGAACTCACGCCATTCTGACATCTAACGCTTACCCTTTTCCATGCCAGTTTCTCTTGAAACAAGTTCTAGTACCCAGTCTCGACCACCCTCAGGCCATTCGCCCAAGCTTGACTAGGTCAGATCTTGGAGTGCAGTACACTCAATCGGCATGTGTTTGATTAGTTCCCTTGGAGCAGCCTCTACAATGCGCTGAAATGGTCACGTACTCCATCTTCGGGCTTGCAATTGCCATAGTGGCGTTTCGATTGGCCCCAACTCCCGGCTGAGGGATGGATTCCTTGTCGATTCTTTCGGAGATCTTTGAGGCTGTGGTCGATAAGTGTCCTAAATGCAGACTCACAGTGATCACAGCCAACCGCAGAAGCAACTCCAGCCACTGTCATCACGCAGTTACATCAGCCAGTGATGCTAAGGAACTCCCGGTCCGATAGCTCACTGGCCAAGCCCTCATGAAGATCGATGCAACAACATATCAACGAGCAAATAGCGATTCTCCTGCCCTATTCCTACCCACATCCCCGTTGAAAATCACCTCAGCGAATCGGTATTAACCCAGCTGCATATATCACCAGCACAGACCCTTAAACTACACTACCGTTGTGTAGATCCAACTTCAAAAGAACCCTCTTCACTAGCCTCATCAAGTTAGGGAGAAGCCGTTTGGTCTGTCACATCTCAAGCCAGCAAATACATGTGCAACGGCTTCGGACCTGTGATCGAAGGAAGAGTGCAGCCGCCCGGGTGCCTTTTTCCCGTTTTTCTTAACAGCCTGCGCGCCGTTCCGTGGTAATCTGCGGCTAAGGGGCTCGTGATCACCCTCGCTCGGACGTTTGGTTATTTCAACTAATGCTGCAGCATGGCTGAGGCGCCGTCTGGGCCGGAGGACAGGGACAGAAGTGGTTTTTCGAAAGGTTAACTTACTAACGGTTCTTGGTGTATGCCTATCTCTTGGCAGGCGAAATGAATTCATTCCATGTGATCACTTTGTTGTGAAGTTACTGTCAAGGAGCTATCTTGAAGTTCGTATTCTTGGATTTGCTCTTAGACACTGACTATTTTAGATCTCCTACTTAGCTGGTTTACCAGATATGTGTCTTGAACCATAAGTAGACGGTCCTTGAGGGCTACAGATGCAATATTGGGCATTTTGACTTTGTTGACATGCCTTAGGACCCTGTATTCAGAGTGCTCTAGGCAACAAGGAATATGCCCGCTTGAAATTTCGGTGATATTCCGCCGTTGTGAAACCTCGGCATTACTTTTGAGGTCCAGTCTCTGGGCTTCTGTTTCCCTTCGTATACTTGTTAGCAATTTGTCAGATACAAAGTGCTTTTATCATGAGAATAATCTCCACGTAGTTGCCGATAAGCGGACGATGAACAGGGGTATTCTACTACGTTGTCGATCACAAGAGGCCTCCTTCTTATTAATAGAGCACGGGAATAAGTGATCGACTGAGTGACGTGGAGATCTTTACAATAGTGTCAAGTTCTCGATGATCTTTTCAAAGGATTATGGTACCTACTGACGAGCCCATGATGTCGACGGAGCTGGTACAGGGTAAGCAACTTCGAGAAACGACGGTGGTCAGCCACAACTCCACTAAAGCTCTACGCCATCCGCTAACTCACCGAAGCGCACTGGTGGGCTTCTAGCCTAACCGCCCCAACACTACGAAAGCCGACATATATCGGGAAGTTATACGAGTTGCATGAAGTTTTGATACAAACGCCTCTTTTTCTTTTTATATAGACCATCGTGACGTGTTGAGTCGTGTAGTTGCGCCGGCGAAAAGCTCTGTTAGCGCACCCAGTTCTTCCTAGATCTCCACTACCCGAGACACCAGCGAAGAAAGCACTGCAAACTTATGCTAGTAAATGGATACCAACGACGATAGCATCGAATATCAGACGAATAACTAGAACCTAGCGTCGATAAACGACGGGCATGTTGCTCCGGAGGCCGCCTAAGCAACAAAGCATAGTAATCAACATATCGATCCTCTCACAAGTCAATTCAGCGCATTGACTGTCTTGATCAGCATTTTTACTAGCGATGTTGTGCAGCATAGTGACTAGACCAGAATAGGCATCTCGATATTGCATCCCAGAGCGTGACATGGGTGGAGGAAAGTGTATCAAGGAGCTAATTGGCAAGATATGTTGGGTCGCTGAAATGGGCAATTCATCAAAGGCCCGAAAGCCTGTGGCGATTCGATTAGCACATCCAGTGAGCGAGTGAGTGATTGCTCACATCAAGTCCGCGAATGTCGGAGGCGAAGACGGCGTTAGCCATGGGGGGTTTTAAGCTTAAAGACTAAAAACTGAACCGCCCCCAGAATATCAATCAAGATGATCAATCCTCAATGATCCACGACCGAGTCACGCTGTGAAGCAGGAAATGTAACCCACCTGTCATTTACTGCATTACAGGGACATTGATCAGCTGAACGATAGATAGCACGCTTGATTGACAGATAATTAGCCTTCCTGCTCACGGGCGAGTTACCTCTCCAAAACCGTTTGACCGACGCTATAAAGCCAAACCTTGCCCATCAGCATCTGTCGGACAAACCCGCCCAAGAACCTATTCTTATCATGGCGAACTCCGTCTTGGCTGATACAGATAATCTATAGCCTCTACACGTTTCTACATAGTGATAGATAATATGATAGCTACACTATAGCTGACAAGGAAGGAGAAGGAAATTGAATGAAGATATTCCCTCGGCTGGCCACTCACGTTGCCCACGTGTGTCTTGGCGATCCTTTCTCATGGAACCTTTGCGCGACCCCAAGTCTTTGATCGGCCGGGGCCGTTGTCAAAATAAAGAGGGCGACGGCCCTGTTTTCTCATGATGCTGAATTTGTCCATGTTCACCTCTTCTCTACGCGTAAGGCCCACATCATGAAGTCGTCAATTACTCTGGGTGCTCTCGCTCTGGCAGGCTTGGTCTCTGCTGAGGATGTCTTGTACAGCAAGCGATTGACCAAGCGATTCGTCGACGATGATGGGCACTATAACATGTGTATGTGACCAATTGTCTTCTGGGCGGTTCAATTGACTGATTTACGTAGCTTTCTTTCACGTCAACGACGTTCACGCGCATCTCGACGAATTCGCAAAGTCGGGCACTGACTGCGTGGATCCCAAGAAGGGTTGCTTCGGTGGCTACGCGCGCATAAAGCACACAGTCGATGGGCTTCGAAAAGATCACCCTGATAACCTGTGGCTCAATG